ACAATGTATTAATAATGAAATAAATAAAAGATCGCAAAACGATCAATATAACAAATATTCTGCCAAACTATTATCAAATGAAATGTACCAACAAGCTCAAGAAAACCCAGAATACTCTTATTTATTAAAACAATACTACTTTCCAAAAGAAGTGTATAAAGCTCAAGAATTTCCTAAAGGCAAAAAATCATATGAATTTATAGCATTAATAAACAACAAACCAATCAAAGTACTCATAGATGAAGGAGCAAGTGCAAGTGTAATACCCTATAATGTAGCAAAAGAATGGAACTTATTAGACAAACTTAATAAAAAACAAACTAGAACTGCAAGAGTTCCAGGAGGAATGAATGTAACAAACTATAGCAAAGTAAGAGTTAAACTCCAAATAGAAGACCTAATATTTTATATCAAAGTATCAGTAATAGAAGGAGAACAAGCATATATACTCTTAGCAGAAGTAGATCAAACACGAATGGGAATAAAAAAAAATAGAGAAACTCAAATCATAACAATTAGAGACATACTGATATCATACCAAGACATAACAATGAACGTGCAAAAAGCAAACCTATCACACTGGTTTTACAACAGGAACCCGGATCGCACCTTGAACCTTACGATAAAAAAGGAGAGATCTCATGGTCAGCACACAAATTTTAATAAAATCACCCAACTTGATACCGCAAATCAGACGAAAATACATTTAACAAAGAGCAAATCACATGTAGCTAGTTACCTTGCTCGAAAAACTAGTGACCTAGGCAAAAGCAAAAAAAACCTGCCGTTGGCACCCAACGAGGTAAAAAATAAACTTACCACTTATACCTTAAACAAAACAAGTCGAACCTCTAACAACCAATTACACGTCAATAACAATATGATATTGGAAAAAGCCATTGAGCCTAATATAGTAACTAACAATATTGCCCCACAATCTAAAAATGAAACCATTTTAAGTCCTATACAAAAAGGCAATAACAACACCTTAAAGAAGAAGAAAGAAAAACTGCCCTTAGAAAGAAAACCTAAACAAGAGTTTTTAAAAGAAAATATAAAACAAAATGAGTCAGCTGAGAAATGGGTAGATAAACAATATAACCCAAGGAAATGTAAGAGATTTATAACACATCTCTTACCAGAGTCATTCCCTAAACAAGTTAAAAAGCTTAGAGAACTTGTTAAAGAAAATGAAAATAGAGTCAAATTAATTGGAGTAACAACCGACGCTCATTGGGATGAAATAGTAAAAACTACTATCATAACCCAATCTAACATAGTACAAATATTCTTAAAATATTTGGATTCAGT